ACATGAGTTTGACGAGCAGAGAAGGGGAGCATTCCAGGCAAGGGGGAACTGCCAACACCAAGGCCTCAAGGCAAGAAAGAGTCTAGCATGTTCTGGGTGCGCTGAGGAATATAACATAGCTGGGCCTTGAGGAGTGAGGGCAGGGACCAAAGAGGAGACTGGAGCCAAATCATGCGAGTCTGGAAGGCCAGGTCCAGGGTAAGGAGCTGGACTTCATCCTGAGAGTCTGAGGGAGCCCCATGGAGGTGGGCATGGAGTGGGCCCAGGGGGTCCACTTTGGACAGCGGTAAAGTCACAGGCCCAGAGCTGACCTGTCCCCTCCACCAACCCCAGCATGGTGAGGACACCTTCAACCGGGCCAAGCTGCTCAACGTGGGCTTTCTAGAGGCGCTGAAGGAGGACGCCACCTACGACTGCTTCATCTTCAGTGATGTGGACCTGGTCCCCATGGATGACCGCAACCTGTACCGTTGTGGCGACCAGCCACGCCACTTTGCCATTGCCATGGACAAGTTTGGCTTCCGGTGCGGCCTCCCTTCTCAGCTGGACCCAGACCTCCCCACCCGCACCGTCCCCACCTCCCCCACCAGACGCAGGCCCTCGCTCCCAGCCCTGGGCCCCCTTGCTGAGCACACTCTCCCCCCACCCCATCCCTGGTCCTCCATCTGGAATCACCTTGGGCCCCTCACTGATGCCTGCCCTCCCGTGCCATAGGCTGCCCTATGCTGGCTACTTTGGAGGCGTGTCGGGCCTGAGTAAAGCCCAGTTCCTGAAAATCAACGGCTTCCCCAACGAGTACTGGGGCTGGGGTGGTGAGGATGACGACATCTTTAACCGGTGAGGAGGGATGGGCGGGGAGTAGCCTGGGTGCGCGAGAGGGTGGGCGCAGACTGGGCGGGGCTCCTTTCCCTTCCTGGTGCTTGCTCCAGTCCATCTGTCCCCGTCCCCAGGATCTCCCTGACTGGGATGAAGATCTCGCGCCCAGACATCCGCATAGGCCGATACCGCATGATCAAGCACGACCGGGACAAGCATAACGAGCCCAACCCTCAGAGGTGACCCCCAGCACCCCTGACCCCAAGTGCCCCCACCCCTTACTCCCTAGAGGTGACCCCAAGACCCCTTACTCCTAGAGGTGACTCCCAGTACCCTTGATCCCTATTGCCCAACGCCCAGTTCAGCCTCCCCCAGATGTGTCTCACCCCTGGCCTGATCCCTGGAGGTGACTCAGATTTACAGGCAGGGCTCACATCGTCATTGAGTGGACTGCATTCCCATTGGGGCCCTCACAGACCTCACTTGTGCCGGAGCAGATAGGATGAGAGCTAGCAGGCAGTGGGCACAGCTCCTGGGCTTGGGGACTGCCAAAGGTGGCCTGAGCAGTGTGGGACGGGGAGTGGAAAGACACTGCTGACCCTTCTGAGACTGGAGTAGGCGGCCCCGTCTCTGAGGATGCAGCAACATTTGGAGCCTGGTGCTGGCTGGGAGAAGGGCCCGAGGGCATGTGGAACGTAGACAGGGCTTCCTGACACTGCTCTGGGACTGTCCGGTGCCAAGCCTTGGGGGGAGGGGGCCTGGAGCAGTCGTAGCCAGTCCCTGCTGGATATACCACGTAAAGTTCATGCTAGGGAGGGAGACAGGCAGTTCCAGCACAGGGTGATCGGGGCAAGGTGCTGTCCTGGCAGAAGAGGAAGTGATGGTGGGAGGCTTCCTGGAGGAGTGATGGTAAACTGGAGTTTGCAAGGAGTTGTTCATTTAACAAACATTTGTCATTGCCTTGGGTACAGCGCTGTATTCACTAGCCTAATGGAGGAGGCCAGTTATGATAAAAGGGAAGGTATTTGTAGGAGCCTGGAATGTGAACGTGCATGGTACGTACTGAGAGCCTCTGAAGGCTGGGGGTGACAGCAGAGGGGGTCAGTGCTGAGTGTTCGAGGTCTGAAATCCCAGGTTGAGAGTTTCTCTTTTGTCACAGGGGCACTGGGTAGTCACGGAAGGGCTTTAAGCAGGGAAGGGGCAGGACCAGATTTGGGTTTGGAAGGATCACCCTCTGAGTTTGAAGAAGGCGAAGGGCTGGGGGCTGGCGGAGCTGCTGGGAGGAGCAGGAGGGTAGCTGACCAGGCCTGAAGGAATCGACGGGGCTCGGGGGTGTGCTGGGTGTGAGCAGTAGGAACGGTAGGGTGGTTCTGCTGTGAACCCAGGGTGTAAGAGTGGAGAGGTTGGTGGCAGCACTGATGTAGGGTTGATGTTTGGCAGAATCATGAAGCACCGGACGTCCAGGGAGCTGATTAAAAAGCAGTTCAGATAAAAACCATGGTGAGCAGGGAAGGGATGACAGACCGTGAGGAGAGGGCCTTCAGGGCATCTGAGGGAAGGTGCTCAGGTCAGGAGAGGAGTCTGAGCTGACCTCAGAAGGACTGGGAGGATCAAAACAGATGGGATGAGGGTGGGAGTGGAGCTCTAGAAGCACGTGCCGGCAGTCTTGTCCTGTTTCAGGAATAGCTCGTCTAGGTGCCATCATCAATTAGTGATGTCTGCCTTGAGTGGGGAAGGGGCAAGATAGCCAGACATTTCTGGCTTAAGGAACTCTGTGGGTGATGGTTCCATCTACCTAGTTGCTTTTGCCTCAAAGCTAGGAGTTCTGGATTCTTCTTTCCCTCCCCCTACATGTCCAAGCCATCAGCACGTCATGTCAGTGCTACCCCAAAACATACCTGAGCCCATCACTTGCCCTTTCCTCCTCTGCCTAGTGCAGCCTCTGTCCTCCTGCCTGGACTACTGCAGTGGCCTCTCACTGGTTTCCCTGCAATCACCCTTGCTCTTCTATAGTTCATGTCCCATGTCCTGGCCCTCTTCCCCCCAAACTGGACTAAAAAGCCCTCAGTGTCTTCTCACTCACAGAAGAAAAAACCTGCTTCCTCTGATTTACAGAGCCCTGCCCATACATGCTCTAACCTCCAAGCTAATCCTACACTTTTCCCCTTGGCCCATTAAGCCCTAGCCACTCAGCTGTGCGAGTTCTCATTCCCGGTTTAGGGTCTGTGTGTGCTGTGACCTCTTCCTGGAATGCCCTCCCCTGCTGTCAGCTCGATGTCACAGCCTTACCCCTTCCAAGGCAGTCATCTTGGTCTCCCCCTCCTATCTCTCTTAGCACTCTGATGTGTTCCCTGTCTGTTACCTGTCCACCCTAGTGGAATAGACTGCCATGAGAGGAAGGACCGTGCTGTCCAGTTCATGGCTGTGTCCCTGGTGCTTAGAGCAGAGCTTGGCAATGAGACTGCTCAATAAATAGATGGAGAAGGAGTGACTAAACGATGAGGAACAGAGAAGATGGCACAGAAATGATGGGTTTGGGGAGAAAGGATGATGCATCTGATACAGGACACATTGCATCTGAGGTGCCTGTGGGATGCCCCATGTCTGGGTCTGAGGCTTAGAAGGAAGGCCTGAGATGAAAAAGATTTGTGAGGGTGTCACAATTCTGGACTCAAGGGGGTGAGATCTCTGTTTTAAGGGCAGATGGCTCCAGGCAGGTGGAGAGTGGAGGAGGTGGCAAGGAGAACTGAGTCACCCCTGGAAGAAGCCAAGATGGCTTGAGCCTTGGCCCCAGAGATCCCATATTGGAGTTGCTGGTTAGCCCTGATCTGGACCCACTTTCATCCTGTCTAGGTTTACCAAGATTCAAAACACGAAGCTGACCATGAAGCGGGACGGCATTGGGTCAGTGCGGTACCAGGTCTTGGAAGTGTCTCGGCAACCGCTCTTCACCAATATCACAGTGGACATTGGGCGGCCTCCATCATGGCCCCCTCGGGGCTGACACTAATGGAAAAAGGCTCCCAGTGCCAAAGATTGCCTGCCAGAGGACTGACTGACAGCCTGGCTGGCGGCGGCTCTGTGAGGGATCCCCCAGGACTGAGACTGTGGGATCTGTTTTCTGAGAGTCTTCAGTAGGCCCCCCAGCTGCACCTGGAAGTTTCAGAACCTACTTTGTGGGGGCTTCCATCCTGGGCGGGGCCCTCAAGTGTAGTCCTCTCTGGGGTCAACCCTCCTTCCTGCCCCTCCGTCCCCAGCCCAACCCCCTCACTGTCAGGTTCGGGCCAGCCCCTGCACTGCCTCGCTGAGTGGCCTGGGCTAGGTCACTCTACCTCTCTGTGCCTCAGTTTCCCCCCCTTGAGTCTCCTAGGGCCTGGAAGAGTGGGAGGTATGACTAGGGGGCAGTGTCACTTCCAGGGGGAATTCTCAGATCTGGGGATCCCCCATGCTCCCAGGGGAGGGGAAACCTTTTTCATTCAACATTGTAGGGGCAAACTCTGGGGCGCCCCCTGCTGAGGAGCAGCCCCAGGAGGGGACCAGAGGGCGTGCTGTGTCGCTGCCTGGGATCTTGGGGCTGGGCTTCGAATGGGGGCGGGTGGGGCTTGGGTCAGTCTGGTTCCCGCCTCCCTGTCTCGCAGAGAAGGCAGTAGCCCCAGGGCCGGCTCGTGTTTGTACGTTGCACAGAAACTTGTGTGGGTGCTTTAGTAAAAAATGTGAATGGAGCAGCCCCTTTGTCTGTTTGGGGATGGGGATCTGGGTCCCTGACCCGGACTCTGAGTGGGTTGTGGAAGGGCGCCTAGCCCAACTTATCAGTGTGATCCAGGTTTTCCTGGTTACCCCCCCGCCCCGTCCCGGCCCCTCCAAGGGCAGCCGCTCCTTAAGCTTTGCCCGCCCAAAGGGGAAAGGTTTACCCTGCCGCTGCCTCCGGGCCAGAAGAGGCAACGGAGTAATAAACCCAGTGGGCTCAGATTTCTCGGTCCTTTCACCTGCCCCGAAGCCGAAAGGCGCCCAGAGATGAGCCGAAGGTGCTTGGGGTCAGGGCTCTGTGGGTTCGGACTGTAAAACCGCCTACCTCGGCCGTGGGTCGGACTCCCGGCGGGCGGGCGCCGCCTTCCAGACCCGGACTGGGCAGGGGCGGGGCCTGGGTGGCGGCACCGTTTCCCGGGTGACGGCCGCGCGGAAGAGGCGGGGCTAGGGCTCTGGCCCCCACTGCCCGGCTCCTGGGGGCTGTGACCCGGATCCGTGGCCCCTGAGAGTCAGCCAGGAGCGGGGCAGGAGAGACAGCGCCGGAGACCGGCGGCTCTGGACCGGGTAATTCCAGTCGGGACTGGCGGGAGAACAAGGGTGGGGCTTGGGCGCGGCTGGGGGCGTGGCCTCGAGGCCGGGGCGGGGCGGGCGTGGCCCAGCCCTGGCGACCGCGTCTCCCGGTCACCCCGCGCTCTGCTTGCCGTCCGGCAGGTCCGAGCCTCGGGCTGCGCGTCGGGGCGGCGGCGCGGGCAGGCCATGCCCCGGGACTCCCCGTCGCTGTGGGAGCTGGTGGAGGAACACGTTCCGCTCCCGGAGCGGCCCGAAGTAAGGAGGATTCTGGGGGAGACCACGGTGGACCTGAGCCTGGAGCTGCGGACGGAGGTGAGGAGTGGGAAAGTGGGCCACACCCACGCCTGTCCCACGACTCGAGTGATTTCCCCACCTTCTCCGGGCCCCTGTCCCTGCCTGGTAACTTGCGAGATCTTGTTGGATCTCACTGTCCACACAGCACTCTTCCGTTTGACTCCTCCCTGCCCCTCGCTCCCCTGGACCCCGCACTCCCGTCACTTCCCTCCCCAGTCTCAAGGTGTCCCAGCTCTCCTTGCAGGTGATGATGCTACGGTCACTGCTCCGAGAGGCTCGATCCTCCCAAGCCCCTGGCTCCTGCCGCACCCCTGACCCCTCCTCCCTGCTGGCACCGCCGCCCCTGCTAAGAGACCTTGTGCGTCAGGAGCTGCGGCAGCTGCTCCAGGACCTCCGCCAGAAAGCCAGCTTCGAGGGCAGGTAGGAGCCTCAGACCTGGGGCTGGGCCCCATCCCCAGAGCTCAGATGGGCTAGCCTCGCACCTGACAAGGGGCCAGGGTCGCCTTTACTGTGGTTCCCTGGAAGGGCCTCTGAGATTCCTTCGTGTGCTCCTTCTGCAGGGACCAGACTCAGGCTTGGGTCCAGTATAACCCCAGGGTCCTGCGCTTTGCCTTGGAGGAGCCCAGGTGTGATTTACCAGAACAGGAGATGTTCCAGATGAGAGCTGGTGAACCCAGGTACAGCGGTGGTGGGAGAGGAGGGATCTGTCCCTGCTTGGCAGAAGGCCACAACCAGCTGCTGGGTCCCCCTTGGCTCCATGGAGGAGCTCTAGTCTGGAGCTAGACACTTCTACAGCCACTTGTGGTAGGAATCAGCACATGAGGGCTACAGAAGTCCAGGAGACACCTGCCAAGCCTGGGGGCAGGCAAGGCTTCCTGAAGAAAGTGACTGGTTGGATCTGGTCTTGGCGTATGAGGAACAGATTTCCAGGCGGATGAAAGGGAGAAGAGCTTTGCAAGAAGAGGGAGCACTATATGCAAGCATGGGTGGGAGGAAAGGAGGCCGTGTCCAGTGGTCAGTTGTTGCTCAGGCTTGGAGAATAGGAGTGAGGGCTGGGGACTGAAGGAGATACGTGAGCAGGAGAGTGTTCATAAGTGAATGACAGCAGCTTATTTCTAATTGTCACACAATGCTATGATGGGGGTGATGTCCCCATTTTGCAGATGAGGAAACTAAAGGTCAGAAAGGATAATCGGTTTGCCTAAGATCACACGGAGCAAAGGGTGGCAGAGCCCTTTGCAAGCCCAGCCTCCAGCGCTCCTACTCTTTGCACTCTATTATGTTGCCTTTGTGAGAAAAGACATAGAATTGTCTAGGAGAAGTGGTATTTGGGTCCTGAAGGCCTGGGGTGAGGCAACATGGGGAGAGTGACCTTGGCTTCATCTGCTAGCAGCAGTCCCAGGGATCTCAGCATCATCAGGGACCAACTGGACGCGTCCAACATTGATCAGGCGGCCGGACACCTGCGGTGAGGGCCCTGAGTGTGTGGAGTGGGGGTGGAGACGGGGAGGAAGGGGCTGCGGGTGGGTCTTGAAGTTCTGGGACGGTGAGAGAGAACAAGGGAGGCGGCACAGCTGGTGGGGAGACCGTGAGAGTAAGGCTGAGAGGCGGAAAGCGCAGGTTGCTGTGGGGTTGGCAAGGTTGCTACCGGGAAGTCGCCAGGTACGGATGCCAGCAGGGGCCATGACCCGAGGATTTTTATCCTGAGGTGGGGGAACCACAGAAGAGTTTTCAGAACCAGAAGCAGAGGAAAGGCTGTGATATGGGAGGGAATGGAGGCAGGAGGAGTCGCAGGCCCAGTGTAGTGGTGCGGAAGAGAGAGTGGTGTCTGCCAGGGGTGTGTGTGCTGTGAGGAAGGAAATCTGGAGCAGCAGAGGCCAAGGTGGGCTGAGAAAGGAGGGCCTGGAGGGGGCTTTTGGGGAGGCTGGAGGTTGGGGCTGGGTGGAAGGCTCAGCTGAGCCCCGATCCCGTGGCACTGGTTTGGCTGCCACACTCCCACGTGTCCCAGGGGCCTCCTGGAGGAGGAGTGTCGCGCCTTGGAGAGGGAGCTCCCCATCCTGCAGGTGAGCTGCAGCCCTGCCCCCCTAGCCTTTTTGCTGGGTGTAGACACACCCGCCTCTTGCCTGGTGTATGAGACCTGTGTCCATGTGTGTCTGTGTGCGCACGTGCATGTAAGGTTTGTATGAGTCCTGTGTCCATCTCTCATATGTGTACGCTTCTTGTGCATGTGAATCCAGAAGCCCAAGATGCTGGTCGAGCCCTTAAGTCCAAGGGTAGCACTTTTAGATTAACCTGCTGGATTTGCCCCTGGCCTTTTGCCTCCTTCCCTTCCCTAAGTCTGAGTCCAGGTCAGCCACCACGTTGCCAAGCTCAGCTTTCAGGGCGGCTGGTGTGCCCCCTGGGGCTGCCCTCAGGTGCTTGGGATGAGGAGCTGCACGGGTTAGCTCCTGGGCCCTGCCCTGGGGATCTTGGCCTCTGCATTCTGCCCGGCCCCACCCCACTCCTGCCGTGAGGCTGGGGCCCTGAGCCAGCTCTCCTTGCAGCGCTGCCTGGAAGAGGAGTATATGGGAGCACCCCAGCCCTCCGAGGCAACCCTAGAGCCCACGCTGGCAGGTGAGGCCCCAGAGCACCCAGCCTCCTGCTGCCCGCCCACACTTGTGCCCACCCTGGAAGAGCTGGGTGCTATGTCTCGGATATACCTCCCTTCAGAGCTAAAGGAGCAGAAGGCAGCCATGCAACAGGAGCTGCAGGCACCTCTGAGGCCCTGCTGTGTCTCCCCCAGCCACAGGTAAACCAGGGCAGGTGGACAGCTGGACAGGGTGGGCTAAGGGTCAGGCCACACCCCTCACAGCTCTTCCTTCCTGCTCAGGCAGCAGCCCCTGAGGTCCTCCAGTCAGGGCCTCAGACCCTTGCCTTGCCTCCGTGGGGCCGCTGGAGTTTGGGGCCAGCCTCTCCAGTGCTGCCTGCCTGCTCCTCCTCTGGAGCGCTGCGCTCGCCCGCGGGGCCTGGCCGCCACCTGCCGCTGGGGACGGAAGCTTCGGTGCAGCCTCAGGGAAAGGCCAGCTTCTACTCCAGTGTCCAGTGCAGTGCCCCAGGCCCCAACCTGAGGACTGGTCATGAAGTAGGCTTCGGCTTCTGTTGGAACTCGCGCTGTCTGCTGCTGCCACCTCTCAGCTGCTGTGGCCCCGCCGCTTCAGATCCTGTCTTGGATGGGCCTCCGCCAAGACCCTAAGGCTGTCCATCCGTCTGTCTGGCCCTTACCCCGCCCCATTACCAGGTCCCTAGTATCTGGTCCCGACCATCACAGCCTTTGGCCTTTCTCCTCCCAGGCCTCCACAAAGGCCTGCAGGCAGAGGTCTCATCCCAGCTCTGACTCTGGTCCCCCTGGAGGACCCAGACAAAGCACAGCAGCAGCACAGAGACAGGAATAGAAATTTCATTAAAATCTAGGGACTTTAAAATCCTAGTGGTGCATGGATGGGCAGGGGTGGGCGGTGCACCGTTATTGCTACAGAGGATTAGAGGCGGCTCTTCGGGGGCTGTCACTGCACAGAGGGGCACAGAGGACGGACAGTTGGACACTCCAGGGCTTGAGGGAAGGAGCTGTGGCTCCGGGGGGTGAGGCATGGGGGCTGGGGCCATTTGGCACATGAACGAGGGCAGCCCTGGTGGAGGGAGAGCAGGGGGGTATTGTGTAGGGTCCCCTTCCCCAGGGCTCTGGGCTCAAACCTCCTGCTGAACAGCACCCCACCCCTGCCCCCAGAAACTAGTGCTTTGGGCAGGCTGCTGGGTCAGCGGCCTCTGCTGGCTGGGCCTGACAGCCGGGCTGGAATGAGGTGCAGAGACCCCAGAGTGGCCGAGGGAGGTGCAGGCAGGCCTGGAAGACAGATTGGGCCTAAGGCTAGGAGCAAGGGAGTGTCAACCACAGATAATACAATTTTTACAAAAATAATCACACAGACAAACAGGGCTGGGTGGCACCGCCTTACAAGTAACACTGCACAGTCCCCTAGCCCCTCACTCTGTCCCCAGGTAGGAAGATCCAAATTTGCCTGGCCAGAGGCTGGGGTCTGCTCTGAGGGCAGGAACACTGATCAGGAGGCTGGGGGCCCAAGGAGGGGGACAGTTAGGGGGCCCACCCAGAACCTCAGCTCAGGGCAGAGTATGGGGGCATCAGAGGCTGCATAAGGCCGCACAGGCCTCTGGGGACCTGGCCCGAGACCCTTCCAATGTGCTTTGGGCCCCCCCGGCAGCCCTCCCATCACCCACACCCCCCAGCTGCCATCTTGGCATCCAAAGGACCTGTAAACACTGGGGACACGAGCACAAATGACTGGCTAGCAGTGGTAGCCAAGGTGACAGCAGCTGCCCTGGCCAGGGCGTGGCGGGGGGAGACAGAGACGCTGGTCCACTGCCTCCCCAGTCTCTGTGGTGGGAGCACGGGGCAGGGGCAGGGCCCTCCCCCGGCAGCTGTGCTCATATCCGGGAGTCCTGCAGACGGCTGGAGCCATTACTGCCCACCGTAGGGATCTGGGCCTTGTCTGGGTGCAGCGGCTGGACCTCAAGCCCGTCTTCAGAAGAGGGCGGGATGGTGGGGGCGTAGCGCCCAGTCCGGTGCTCCAGGAGGGCGGGGCCCCAGTCTCTGCTTGGCTTTGTGGCATTTTTCAAACGCTGCAGGAGAGGTAGGCGTCGGGGGGCAGGGTGTGTCAGAAGGGAGCCCTTAAGCCCCATCCATCCAGCCCTGTCCGTTTCACGGGCTGCCCCCGCCCCCACCCCTCACCTGGAGGAGGGTGTCCCCATCTGTGCGGCAGAGCTGGGACAGGGCGTAGAGTGGGATGCAAATGACGGAGGACAGAGCCATGAGGAAGCCGATGGCCACTGCCCAGCCTGGATACTGGTAGTGGTTGTAGGTGATCGGCCGGTACTGGATCACCGTGAAGATGAGAATGAACTGCAAAGGGGCGGGGGTGGGGGGAGAGGGCGTGAGGCTGGCCCTCCCCACCCAGGCCTCAGGCCTCTGGTCAGCACCCCCTCCCTTTCTCTCTGGTTTCCCAAACTAGAAAGAGGCATTTTGGGGAGGGCAGGGGCCCTGTCAATGTGTGGGTTGTGGAAGAAGCAGATGGAACCAGGGGTCCAGGGCATGGTGGGCAGGTAGGCACCATGGAAGGGGAGAGATCTGTCCTTGCCATCATCCTGGACCAGCCAGGGAAGAACTAAGCTGCTGTCACCTTTGGAAGTCAGTTCTGCTCAAAGACGCAATGGCTCCCTTTTGCCTGTTGAAACAAGGCCAAATCCTTTCACCACCTCTCCCCGAGACAGCTTATCTTTCTGGCCACGTTACCCTTGTCTCAATGTCTCGGATGCACCCAGCTTTTCCGCCCTCTTCATTTATTCTGGAGAATCCTCCTCTGCATCTTCCTCTGTCAAACCCTATGTAAATGCAACCTCCTTCAAGAAGCCTCTCCAGATTTCCTGTCTCCTGCTGAAAGGGCTCTCAATGACATTTTCCATCTGCTAAGCATTGTTTAATGTCTCCAGAGACCTGGGAGCTCCTGGGACTGCATCAGTGCTGGGTCTCCAGTGCACAGCACTGTGCCTGGACCTCTAATCATTCGCTGATTTGAACTGGCTTGTGCAGGGAGGTGGGAGCCATGGGGGAGAGGGGAGGGCGAAGCCCTGCCTGTCTGTGGCTGTGGAGACAGTGACAGATAGCCTGGGGAGGCTCCAGAGGCCACAAATGGTAAGTGTCAGGCGGCAGATGCTCTTGGGAGCTGGGGCACTCTGGAAAGAGATGAGTGAGATGGGAAATAAAGCCTGGGGCCACAGCAGCAAAAAAACTAAAGGAAGCAGAAAGATGGGCAGGTGGTCATGGGCCTGCGGGTGTGTGCCACTTGCCAAGGGGGCTCAGCGTCTACCTCCTGAGCCCCCACCTACGTCCTGGAGCTCCGGCTCCTCCAGCTTTTCCAGTGATCAAGTTCTGGAGGGCAAGACCCACATCCATCGGGGGCCCCTCCTGGGACAAGCTCATAACAAGTTTCCTGAATGGCACTAGATCCTGATCTCAGCGTAGACAAATCCCTTATTTGAGCTAACAGAAGGAGGGAGTTTGTCAAAAAGGGCTTTTCAGAAATATAAAGAAGTAAAGCCCCCAAAGAAAACGTGACAGCCCAGAAACTTGTGTCCACAGATCCTGAAGCCTCACCTTAAGGTAACTCCAGCCTGGCTTTCTGAGTGCAAAGGACACTGCCCACTTTGCCTCAGTCTCGTGGAGACATCGGACCCAGGCTGAGGCTGCCCCTACGGAACCTTCTGGTGCCTATCTCCTTCCTGCCTCCTGCCCTGTCTGGGCCGGAGCCCCAGGTCGCTCCCCAGGGTGGCAGCCTCCTCAGGGCTGTGAGGATGAGCCTGGGCCTCAGCCACAACCCCCAGAGGGCACGGCGCCTGGGATGGTGCCTGCCCTCCCCGGCCTCCCACCACTTACGAGAGACTTCCGCTCCTCCTGTTTCAAAGCTGGGCTGGTGGCCAGAGCTGGTGCCTGTGCCAGGCTCGGGGCAGATCTCACACCCTGTTTGGTAGAGGCCTTAGCCCTCAGGGGCCTTTTTTTCAGAAACATGAGCCAAAGGGGAAATCCAGTGCTGAGCTTCCTGTGGCACAGAGGAGCTGGGCATGACTCTGGGCACTGCCCTTGCCACTGGACTGATCCCTCTGTCACTCAGAGCTGGCCCTGCCTCTTCTCTGTGGGGTGACCGTTACACTAGCAAACCCCTTGTGCCCTCCCGTCCCACCCTGAACATAAAGGAGCAAAATCAGATGGTTTTTAGCCTAGGGACCAATCCTCCTTCCTGTAGCTGTTTCTAGTGTAGCAGTGGCCCAGCATGCAGGCTCCAGATTGGACTGTCTGCTTCGAATGGTGGCTCTGCCTCTTACTCGCTTGTAGTCTTGAGGCAATTACTTAACATCTCTGTTCCTCAGTTTCCTCATCTGTAAAGTGGGGATAGCATTGGAGAGTTGCATTACATGAGTTAATATATGAACAGCATGCAGAAGGTGCCTGGTGTCTGGCCATGGTGGGAGTTCGCGCCACCAATTCGGCTCCTTGAAGGGAGTTTCCCAGACGTTGAATATTGGTGGAAACCAAGGACTCCCTCTCCCAAGCCAGCCCCCTCCAGTGCCTGGAAGGTTTACAGTGCAGCCCCTGATCCTGAGCCGACATCTGACTTGTACAACCTGCTTCTGGAACACTGATGCATTCACACCACGGACCCCGAGCACCCTGAGCCTCGGCTATGAGGGATTGCAGACAGGAGCTCAGTGAGGCTGACACCAATATCAGTCATGGTTCCTGAGGCCCCCCTGGGCAGCCAGGCAGGAACGCAAGGGAGGGAGGGAGGGCCGACTCTCAGCTGCTGCCAGCCTGCTTCCCCCTTCTGAGGCTGGGCAATGTCTTCAGTCACACACAAGGCTCTGTGCTCCCTTCCTGACCCGAGACCAGGGTGGCTCTGAGTCTCCACACCCCTGTCTGACTCCATGCAATCCCCTCAGGCTCCCGTGGCCAGAACTGTGGGTGTGGAACCCTTACTGGGAGCTCTGGCCAAATGGATGGGCTTCTGCTCCCCCTCCACTGGGTTCCCGAGAGAAGGACACACGCCAAGGGGCAGCGGGGGAGGGAGGGGCCCGCCGAGGAACTTACAAAGATGATAGCGGGAGAGACGAAGCGCCAGCAGATCTGGAAGAAGAGGGGCGGCGGGAAGCCCAGCATCATGTGGATGTCCTGGAAGTAGTTCCGGTGCCCTGGACAGAAGAGGGGTCAGCGAGCCCACAGGACAGCAGGGCAAGGCCAGGGGCTGGGGCACGGGAGGCCAAAGAAGCCGGGGCACTCACCATAGATGTACATGATGGACACACACATGATGCAGGAGATGATGACCAGGGAGAAGCTGGCTGCATAGTTGTCCATCAGCAGCAGCCAGTAGATGCCTGCCTACGGGCCAGTAGGTAGCTGAGTCGGGGGTGCTGGGGCTAGGCTGCCCCACACACTACCCACCCAATACCCTGGCAACTCCGGCCCAGCCCTTCCCTCAGTTCTTACCTGGCTGGTGAGGGGGATGCCCAGCAGGAAGCCAGCCACAGCCACGCCCAAGGTCACATAGGTCTTTTTCTTCAGGATCCACTCATTCCCCACCTCATCCACAATGGCCGT